TATTTTTAGGGATGGGAAAAGAAAGCGACCTCTGTGGTCGACACACAGAGTAACAGTCCAATTGTGCATGCATACAGCTTCAAGCATTCTGGTCTGACAGCAAGAATGCCACTGCTGTCGGTTCGCAGCCTTGACCTTCATTGTCTCCAATCAATTGGTTTCGGAGTCTGTTGAACATCATCCTGGAAGACGAGAGACTCCTACTCTGCCTAATCACTGTGCGTTTGTTCATGCCTCGTCTCTACGTAATCTGCTGGCCTCCACGCGGCTTTCTCCAGCCTGCAACAGCCACTGCGAATAACCGTAAACAACAAGTGGCACAGTGTACGCAACTTTTCAACTTCAATGAAACATCACGTCGCCGCCACAGGTGTTTAAGTCCTGCGTAGGCTACTCGAGCCTTAGAAATGCGGGCGGTTATCTCCTTTGATGCGCTACCATTGTTTGTCACACAGCTACCTAAGTACTAGAAGCAGTCAACTTCAGCTAATTCCTGACCGTTCAGTTTCATAACAGAACTTCGCGATACCCAGTCTTGTAGCATCGCTTTGCACTTTGAAGGTGCAAAGCACATGCCGAACGGAGCGACAGAACTTGTTAATCTGTCAGGTGCTCTTTGTGCATCCTTCATACATTCGAACAAGCAGAGGATGTCCTCAATGTACTCCAAACCGCATAGCTTTTCTCCAGCTGCCCATTCGATATCTACATTTTGGAGACCACTTAATGTGTTCTCCAGCATTTCGTCTATGACAAAATTGAACAGGAATGACGAACTAGGGCTCCCTTGACGAACACCGCTGCTATTTACGAACGATCTGCTAAGCTCGCCGTAGACCGTTACGCTACCAGAAGTATGCGAGTAGGGTGAACTCAGTATGTTCATGTACTTCTGCTTTACGAAGGGGTGAACCCATAAGGGATTCACAATCAACTGAGTCGAAGGCTCCTTTTAGGTCAAGGAACACGACAACCGTTGGTCGACGGGGAGTATGGTGTAGTTCGAGGACTTTACGCAAGTTGAAGGTTTAATCGATACAACCGTGACCTGGTCGAAATCCTGCTTGTTCGCGGATGTTTGTCTCCCTAAACGGTGTCAGACGTCGAAGTATGATGGATGCTAGTAACTTGGTGACGATTGAGATCAAACTTATTCCACGTTAAAAGCTTAAAGATTCTCATAATAGTATTGAGAAAACGAGTCGGTGAGCGAACAGTTATTTTCGGATATTCCTAGTCATGATCTTACATATCATATAGTGGAAAAATTCTTACATATTCATAGCCAATGGGTCATTTTAAGGTAGAGAAAGTTAAACAACAGATATTGAAATTGTTTAACGAAGCACATCCATCACTAGAATTCACTGTAGAGGTTGAAACGAACAACATATTTGCTTTTCTGGATCTAGGCCTGTCCAGGAAAGAAGATGGATCAGTAAGAATACAGATTCACAGAAAGGAAACATGGAATGGCCAATATACTAACTTCCATAGTTTCGTTCCTGTGAAATATAAACGCAATTAAGCCCGCTGTCTAGTCTTCAGAGTCCGGAAGATTTGTTCAGTAGGCACACTGGATGAAGAACTAACGCTTCATCCGCCAAACGCTGCAGGACAATGGTTATCCGGAGAAGTTAATCGATAAGAACATTGGGCTCACTCCGGAGAAGGAAAATGCCATGTGCCCCCAAGAAAGAACTATTCATAAGGATCCCATTTAAGGGGGACTCACACACCGAGAGCCTAGTACAATCACTGAAAGCGGCTGTAAATTCCACCTTCCCCGCAGCAAAACTCAGACCAGTGTTCTCTACATCGCCGGAGATGCGAATGCAGGTGAAAGACAAATTGCCGAAACTGACCTCATCCATGGTAATCTATTCTTTTAAGTGCGTCTGTGGCGCATGTTACATAGGTCATACTGTAAGGTGTTTGTCTCAACGTGTTAAGGAGCACCAGCCGCGATGGTTGAGTCAGGGAAAAACCGGCTGTATCTCAAGCGCAATTGTGGGGCATCGGGCACAAGATCGATCCGGAGAAAGCTTTTGATGTGATTTATCGCATCCCAATCAATTGCTCGACGACGGCCCGAGTTTGGACACTAGTTATGGCCGAGGCGATCGTCATTCCCTCAATAGGCTCCGACCTGTGTGCCCAAAAGCGATTGGTGCAGGCGCTCCAATTGCCTTGGCCGTATGTGAAAACCAAGACGGAACATGACGTGTCACTCGACCCAAGTGGGGAAAGGTCACATCAACTAACACTTTTCTGCACACACACACGCGCGCATACACTCCCATTACTCTCTAACTCCGAATATTGACCTTAAAATGTAAGAACTTATTCCACGTTAGTTTGCGCAGTCGTTGCGAGATCCCTTCTTGAAAATTGGAACGATCAGTGATTCACTCCAGGATGATGGAATGCGCTCGTGTGACCAGATGTTACGCATTATCAAAGTAATGGCGTCTACGAGGTCATCGCCCCCATCTTCAAAAGAGTAGGAGGAAGCCCGTCCGGTCCTGCTGCTTTTCTTTTCTTCAGGGCTTGGATGCAAGAACGAACTTCTGCTGCAGTTGAAGGTTCCGATAATACTGCCCACGGAGCCTCAGCTACATCGGAGGAAATAGACTGGTTAGCGCATGGTCAGCTGAACTGTTCGTTGAAGTATTCTGCCCACCGGTCAAGGCGTTATACCCCACTGTGAATAACTTGCCCACTTTTGTCGCAGATTGTTTCACTAACTGTGGTTCGCTGACCTCCCGTATCGTGTATCAGTTAGAACAGTCTGACTATTCCCTGATGCAGCTGCTACTTCCATTTCACTAGCTATCTTTGCCCACCAGTTCTCACGGTTTTTCTTGAGGCTCTTCTCGAGTTGACGTTGCAGACGCCACCTAACCCTACCTTGATCCCGATCGGTCGGGATTTCCCGCTTTTTCTCCATCAGTGCTGCTGACTCGTCAGATATCCAATGTCTCGATTGGGCTACCGCTTCAGATCCACAAGCAACCTTCGCTGCGGAGTGCATAGATCGGCTAATCTAATCCCACTGTTAATCTACATTACCAATCCGCAGTGTTTGGCTCTTGTCCTAGTTCTGATTCAAAACGGGCACGAAAGGCTGAGTCAGATAAACAATGATCTGCCAATCGATTTTGGTGAGGTTTTCTGCGACCAGTGAAATGCATCAGAACTAACGCATGATCAGATTCAACGCAGGTGGTCCAATAGGACCTACACTTTTGTACTGAGCCATGCCAACAGTAGCCTACTGCTATGTGGTCGATCTGAGTTAGCGTGCCAGTTGAATTTAAGCACCGCGTTGCTGTCCGTTGAGAGCTGTGTCGGAAGTTAATGCTTGATAGGAACAGATGATGGTTTGCGCAGAACTGAAGAAGTCGATGGCCATTATCTGTTCGCTGGCAGGGCAGAGCACAATGACTGCCTAGGCAAGCTTCCAATGCGTTCAGTTTTCCAACCTGAGAGTTAAAATCACCTGCGAGAACAACTATATCGGAGCTTCGGCTCAATCGAATGAGTTCGGTGAGTTTATCATAAAACTCGTCTTTTGTGAGTCAGAACTGCAGTTGATCGTTGCATACACTGAAATGATGAAAAAACACCTTTTGGCGTTGCTTCCCTTCTTGACGCTGATAGACCCTTGGAGCTGCATTGCACATAAGCCACTATTGACGGGGATCCGGTCAAGCAGTGCCAAACAAATCTTTATGGAGGCGGAGGTTCATGGTCAACGGTACACATTCCGGATACGGATCTTAGCTATGGCGCGTTGAAAGCAGTCATCTAGATATATTTAATAACTGTATAAACGCTCGAGTCCTGTAGAACCAAATTATAAGCAACGATCAGGAATGTCAACGAGTTTTACATTCATATAACCCTCCGACCGAGATGACGATATCATTACATCGGACCTAACGGTTTGGTCATGCAGCTGCATAACTAGCGCCGTACTTGTGCAAACTAAACACGGATCAAAGAAGTCAAGCGATGGTTGATCTAATACGCTGAGCCAGAGAATGAAAAAACAAACAGGCCTTTGACATGCACACTTCACTCGACTCCATGGCGAATATCTGTGGTTAGAGACGATCAATACAAGGTTTGCGGGTAAACTTGTTTGATTTTGTTAATTCTTCAAGTAGTAAAAATAGAATCCAAATCGCACGCAATAAACACTGCGCTCCCATATGGACTTCCTCTGCCTTAAACATTGGCATGCTCACCTATGAAAATTTTCACGGCTGCCCTCGGATTTGAGGTCGGGAAAAAATCAGACAAGACTAAATGCTCATTATCGGCGTTTAAGTGTCTAAACACTCTCGAGCTGTAACAATATATTCCACCCAAGTAATTGAAAACTGGACCATATTATATCCAAGCTTTCAATTAGCTATCCCAACGATTTGTTCTAAATGTGATCACAGAGATAGTGGTTGAATTCAAGGCGAACGATGGCATGAGACCACAGTGAATAAAGATCAGGCAGTTATATTCCTTATATAGCGGACTCAAGGCCCACAAGCTCATGTCAAGCTCCTACAACAGAAATAACACGATCACAAGTCTGGCACAAGGAAACCCCATAGAACAAAGGATAAACCAAACCTGGATGTAATATCATCATCCAAAAAATGTGGCTCATGCAAGTGGTACAGAACTCAATAGCTTTGAACGTTTCTTAAGGAGTCACTTGCAATGGCAGGTGCTGCAGAGAAAAAAATCGGTCCGGGAATGATAGCTGCTTGTTATTCAACATATAATTACGCCTACATGAACCATGTAAGACGAACTATGCTGAGGGCAAAGGACAACGGGAGAATGTTTCGGTTTCAAGGGGAATCAAAAGGTACTAGCGTGTGGCGCATGAATTTAACAGTTCGAATACAAGGAACGGAGTGCTCCACAATGGCGAAACAACTCTCCTCTAGCAACAGCTCGATACGTGACATCGAACTCGACGAAACTACCACCTAGACCTTCGGGGTTCCCCAAGTTTGAAGATCACAGCCGCGCACTTTGAATCCCGGCAACAGTTTGTGGTGCAAGTGTTCGTAGACCGTCTCCAATGGAGGTTCTGGATCGCTCAGACTCTGCTCTGCGTCTTTGTCTACTTCCTCGCGTACTTTCTTCTCAATAGCCTGGATAAACAAAAGTAAATAGAAAGATATCAGTTATTACATCCAGAACCAAATGTGTGAATAATTGTGTGAAAAAAATCAACAGATGCGCTGCACGTGTATCGATGCATGACAGTAGATAATGTACAGTATATGACGTACACCTTATTGATTAGCTGAGATGATAATTAGTTAGTCAAGAGAAGCAAATGACAAAGACAGCGGATGTGAACAGCGTGTTTGTAGTCACTATACCAGATAATGAAGGGAACGTGGCACGACGGCCAAAAGTAGTACCACCTAGGCCGCGATCCAGGTAATCATGTAATTGTGCATAAATTTTCCTAAAGAGAGGGGAAAACATGGAAATTTACTCGATCCAAAATCACTTATAAACGCATCGATGCATGTAACAAAACCAATTGGCCAGATGTTATTGATATCGGTAACAGGATTAGGAAAACGCCGATCGGTTGTTCTTTTTTACTTCACATTACTGATTAAATTCGCACTCGGGCACGCAGATCGTGACGTATCCTTCGCCTTCATCAAACCGGGACAAAGGATATTGATGAACAATATATAGCAGATCTGGATACTACCAGGCGCGTTACCAGGAAGCGAACAGGGGATCGGTGACTAATCTGATAGTTAACCGTGAATAAGAAGAGTAAGGATTCAATAAGCGGTTATGGAGGATCGGTAGTAACGCTCGAACGGAGTGCACTTTGATTAGTTAGTGACCTCTTTGGGTTCGAGGTCTGGGCTCTGATGGTGATAGAGAACCTTGTGCTTAACGGCGCAATACCACCCCTAATCGATTGGGGCTAATATGCTTACAAAAATTAGGTTATCGAGACCATAAGCTTTGGCTTTTCCATTGCAATAAAAAGCTTATGCTGAACTAACCTAGTAACATAAGTGATCACCAAAATGTGCTTGATTCACAACTAAGAGCAACCGTCACCGTCAATGGTAGTGCATACATCACAAAAATGGAGCTTTGGACAGCAGCATAATTGGATTAGGAGTTAACATGCCCGTGAAGATTTCAAAAAATGAGTCCAAGCATTCAGCAAGCAGTAGCCCTTGCAAACCCATCATTTCTTATGCGAAAACAAGTTAGTTTCACTGATCGAAGGAATAAGCAGTCCGTTTGTGCGTACAAAGAGGTTTGAAACAGTAGTCTTGTGATTGAACGACGTCAATACCATATTCTAATGGTTAGGTATGGAGACCATTCGACATCAGAATGCCGTAGAGGACCAAAATAATTTTCTAGTTCACTTTTACTTCATTTATTATTACTATTATTATTTCAACACGTAACCAATTACAGAGAACTGGCAAATGCACCACAATATATATAAACCAAAAGAGATCTGTAGTATATGTTCACAGGTTGTGTGGGCATGTTACCTCCTGGTGACCATGACCGAGGAAGGCGGATAACTCTGGCATCCCCACCCGAAGCTCTTAGCTAGAAAGCCAGACCTGCAAGACAACAGGATGGAGCTGAGTCTGCAGTCCAGTGGAGACCGGGGCCAGTTCATTGAATCATACGCCCTTTGTACGGGGTCAAACGTCCAAGATGCTCAATACACCTTCATGCTCAATTGAGCCGGTGACCACTGCCACAACACGAAAGGTGTGCGTGGTTTGTACGCCTCCCCTTCGTCGATTTGGAATCAAGGTTTTAGCCCACTCCTCTAGTGGTTCACCAACAAGAATGTTGGCTTTTCGTCCTCTCATTTTGGTGGGAAAACACCTCCGGCACGCGAACGGTTTCCTCAGCAGAGGCTAGTTGAGACGCCTGGTCGTATGGGAGCATTTCGCGTGGTGCAAGGGAAGGGTGAACAGTCACCGTCCAATACAACCACCCCGAACATACTGAGGTTTGATTAGATCCCAAGGTGCTCAATGTTCTCTAAAGATCGAAACACAAGCAATACAAGGTACCCGCACAATTCCTCGGTAATTATTTATCGTATTCGAAGCAGTGAAGTTAAAGCTCACTCGCAAGACAGAAAGTAGAGGTGGGAAGAGGCAATAAATTATGTTTCAAACCAGTCTCAGTGCAAATGGCTCGGGCGACAGGACTCCAATGAGTAGGTGCGAGAAAAATTGTTATAGTAAAGGGATCAAGATATTTTGTCTTGGGTCAAACTTTACATATGAAACGGCGAATTTATTTAGGTTCTCCAGGAAAAAATACAGAAGAACGACTGACCTTAACTTCCTCATCGGTGCACAAATTAGCCTCCGTAATGCGCTTCTGAAATAGACTGATAGGATCACGTCCACGACGCACTGACTGAACTTCTTCGCGGGTACGATAACTTGTGCCTGGATCACTCATGCTGTGTCCATGATAACGATAAGTTTCCGCCTCTATGAGAATGGGACCTTTACCTGAAACACACCATTCACGAGCGAATCGGGTGGCTTCCCGCACTGTGAGCACGTCCATACCATCAATCTGTTGAGAATCAGAAAAATGAGTCAGATCGTGTACTGTTCAGTACTAACATATATGATATGTCATTGGTCAAAACACCAACAAACGATTTTCATTAGTAATGTCTGTATAGGGTGTTCGTACAGAGGTAGAAATATAATCGGTTTCCATGAGCGTTTGGCACCTTCAGTGTAAAATGTTGCTCCAAGATTGGGTTGGTCCAGCCCCAACCCTAACTGACTGGGCAAATGGTAGAGGAAGTAAAGAAGTTTTTCTATTTGAGCATATATATATAACGCATGCTTAAAATATACCCCAGCCATCGTAGTCCATAGGGGTCAACCACCTGCGTTAATGCGGGACTGTGATAACCCAATAGCTTGTGCATAATCTTGGAATCGCCCATCCGGTTGTTCCTTTTGGCTCATGCAACGCAGTATAGACAGCGTTTTTCGAACAATGATTTGTGATCATCTTCCTCCTATAGTGGTCAATTTTCAACACCGTATGACAGAATAAACCGAACCGCTCAAAGGGTTTCTCATAGGCCTTAAATCATTTTAGGTACCAATCCGGGGATCATTTCATTCGATTACCATCAGTAAATTAGCAGCTAAATTTCAATGTAAGGGACATGATTGACACTGACCCAAAGTCCGGGGATGTAATCGCCACGTGTATAGTAATTCGTGTTGGACGATGCCCGATGGACAGCGGTGCCCATACCGTACTTGTTGTTCTCGCATACGAATACAACGGGGAGATTCCACAGTTTAGCCATATTGAATGCCTCGAAAACTTGACCTTGGTTCGCCG